TTGCAGTAACATTCACGACCATGGCCAGCAGGAAGCAGCAACGACCCTTACACTCCACTGTTAAAAGTGTCGTAAGATTATCACGGCCCCTTGGACAGATATGTAAATAATTTTGTGAACTTTAACCGGCGCGAGGGAGATAGCCGAAGCCCCAGACATTAACCCCACACACTCCAACCCACACTCTTGTTTCCTCTTGCTTAAGTCAGTAAAGTGAGGCGAGATAAGAGTACAACTTGAAATACGAAGTTGGGAGGGAGAGATGAGCTCAGCCACTTAAATCTGAAGTAAGGTGAACTCTGGCAGGAATTATTTTTTTTTTTTCACCCCAGTTGAGTGGTTTAAATTAATCAGGAATATGATGCGTGGGAAGCCATCCAGGAGATGCAGCATCTGGAGATTTTCATCCGAGGAAGGGGAGGGCAGTGCTAGTTCTTTGGATCAAGAGCTCAGCTTCAGTGGATCGATCCTGATTGCCTCCCATTCCCCAGGGGTTGCGTGGCCCCTACTGGTTTAGCTCTTCCTCAAAAAAAATATTTTTCGCCCCCCAAAAGACAAACTATGAAGAAAAGGCATCAAGGCTGACACATGGATAACCAAAATAAGCAACATACCTCTCTTACTTTCCCTTAATTATTACATTCAAAGGGGAGTGCTAAACTCGTAGGAGTCATGCAGTTCCTGCAGGCGGAAATGGAAGGCATCCAGGCTCGATTCATAGGAATTAGATCACGAAACTGATTCCTTAGGTGAGGATCCCATAACCGGCATCAAGGAACCTCCCTTAAGGGGCACTCTCCCTTTCCCTTACTTCCCCTTTAGTTAAATATATATCTAGGTAAGATATGGTACCAAATACCGGTAAATATGTAAATAAGCTATTTACTAGATAGTATATACTGAGGTGGTCTCTCTCTCTCTCTCTCTCTCTCTCTCTCTCTCTCTCTCTCTCTAGCTTCATAACTTACTAGACTGTCAATTATTATTTTACTATAATTACGGAGAAGCGTTAACCCCGTAGGGGTTTGATTGAGTTTCTTGGATCAAGACCCCAAATTACCGGCATTAAAGCAATCCTCGCTCATAGGCTCACCCGTAGGCTCACTCGTAGGCTCACTCGTAGACTCACCCGTAGGCTCACTCGTAGGCTCACTCGTAGGCTCACTCGTAGGCTCACTCGTAGGCTCACTCGTAGGCTCACTCGTAAGGTTATCACTAGTACAGTGATAAAAACTGTCCTCCTACAGGCAGCTTCATCTGTGTACACAGAAAAATGTGGGTCTACCGGAGACCTTTTTTTTCTTGTTTTAAGCCAATCATATCTCTGGAGCCTTCAGGCAAACGAGTTCTTATAATGTAGCACCACAGTGGAGCACCATACTGCTGCTGCTGTGGTGTTATGTAGCACCAACATACTGCTGTTGTGGAATCATGTAGCACCCTCATACTGTTGCAGTGTTACACAATCACCGCTATTTCCTTCTGTTGCAATGTAGCACCACCACCACAATATTGCCCCTGGGTTACAATGTAGCACCACCACCACAATATTGCCCCTGGGTTACAATGTAGCACCACCACCACAATATTGCCCTGGGATTCAATGTAGCACCACCACACAATATTGCCCCTGGGTTACAATGTAGCACCACCACCACAATATTGCCCTGGGTTCAATGTAGCACCACCACCACAATATTGCCCCTGGGTTACAATGTAGCACCACCACCACAATATTGCCCCTGGGTTACAATGTAGCACCACCACCACAATATTGCCCCTGGGTTACAATGTAGCACCACCACCACAATATTGCCCCTGGGTTACAATGTAGCACCACCACCACAATATTGCCCCTGGGTTACAATGTAGCACCACCACCACAATATTGCCCCTGGGTTACAATGTAGCACCACCACCACAATATTGCCCCTGGGTTACAATGTAGCACCACCACAACCACACTGCTCCTGCAGTGCTAGATTCAAACAAAGCGCGTGCATGTTATAGTCTTGTCCTGTGCTACGTAAACCTTTCTGGTTACTACGGGCTCAAAATGCTTGGAGCTCTTTTAATGGCGCACTAAACGAGCGTCTTGCAGTGAAAGGCGGAGCCATTACCGTTAATCCAGGGCAATAGACTAAAGTATACGGATGCAAGTGTTAATCTTGTATATTTTCTGGCAGATATATGTGTGTGTGTCCTTAGCAGAGTACTCCTGCTGATTGGTTTGGGAAAATGCATGGCAGCTGTGAAGCAGTGATTTTTCAGCAGCATCAAGAAGAGCAGCAACAGAATCAGGAACAGTAACAGCAATAGCATTAGTAACAGCAACAGCATCAGGAACAGCAGTAACAGCAACAGCATTATTAACAGCAATAACATCAGGAACAGCAGTAACAGCAACAGCATTAGTAGCAACAGCATCAAGAACAGCAATAGCAGCAGCATCAGGAACAGTAACATCAACAATAGCAGTAGCAACAGCAGTAGCTATAACATTATTATATATAGCAACAGTAGTATAACAATAACAGTAGCATCAACAGAAGTAGCAACATCAGAAACACTGACAGTAACAGCAGCAGCAGTGACAGTAACAGCAGCAGCAGTGACAGTAACAGCAGCAGCAGTGACAGTAACAGCAGCAGCAGTGACAGTAACAGCAGCAGCAGTGACAGTAACAGCAGCAGCAGTGACAGTAACAGCAGCAGCAGTGACAGTAACAGCAGCAGCAGTGACAGTAACAGCAGCAGCAGTGACAGTAACACAGCAAGGACAGTAACAGCAGCACAGTGACAGTACAGCAGCAGCAGTGACAGTAACAGCAGCAGCAGTGACAGTAAAAAAACAGCATACGAACAGCAAGCAGTGACAGTAACAGCAGCAGCAGTGACAGTAACAGCAGCAGCAGTGACAGTAACAGCAGCAGCAGTGACAGTAACAGCAGCAGCAGTGACAGTAACAGCAGCAGCAGTGACAGTAACAGCAGCAGCAGTGACAGTAACAGCAGCAGCAGTGACAGTAACAGCAGCAGCAGTGACAGTAACAGCAGCAGCAGTGACAGTAACAGCAGCAGCAGTGACAGTAACAGCAGCAGCAGTGACAGTAACAGCAGCAGCAGTGACAGTAACAGCAGCAGCAGTGACAGTAACAGCAGCAGCAGTGACAGTAACAGCAGCAGCAGTGACAGTAACAGCAGCAGCAGTGACAGTAACAGCAGCAGCAGTGACAGTAACAGCAGCAGCAGTGACAGTAACAGCAGCAGCAGTGACAGTAACAGCAGCAGCAGTGACAGTAACAGCAGCAGCAGTGACAGTAACAGCAGCAGCAGTGACAGTAACAGCAGCAGCAGTGACAGTAACAGCAGCAGCAGTGACAGTAACAGCAGCAGCAGTGACAGTAACAGCAGCAGCAGTGACAGTAACAGCAGCAGCAGTGACAGTAACAGCAGCAGCAGTGACAGTAACAGCAGCAGCAGTGACAGTAACAGCAGCAGCAGTGACAGTAACAGCAGCAGCAGTGACAGTAACAACAGCAGCAGTGACAGTAACAGCAGCAGCAGTGACAGTAACAACAGCAGTAAAAATAGTGTAGCAGAAATAACAACCACAAAAAACTATCACTACTACAAAAATTTCTTGGTAAATAGCATTAAATCATTTATGTTTCGAGAAAAGTTTTCATCGTGTCTCATGGTCACTGTCACTGTCATGGTCACTGTCAGTCATGGTCACTGTCACTGGCATGGACACTGTCACTGTTATGGACACTGTCACTGTCATGGTAACTGTCAGCCATGGTCACTGTCACTGTCATGGACACTGTCACTGTCATGGACACTGTCACTGGATGAATCACACTCTGAATATTTCTTTGGTCAAGTTCTGCTGACGTAAGACTTGTCCAACTCCATAAAATAACGAGTGTGCAATTTTCTCTCTCTCTCTCTCTCTCTCTCTCTCTCTCTGCTAGATATAAACAATGTCTTTGATAATTATTATAATCATGGGAAAGGGCTAAACCAGTGAGGATCAAAAACATAATGTGATTCAATAAGAACACAAGATATTGGTGGAATATAACCGAGTACAATATTGATTCTTTCCTCTGTGATTATATTGAATTTACTCTGATGTATTATCCGCATAAAATATTATACATTATATGATTTATAAATCAGCTTATTGAACAGTTTGTGATAATATTCCGTATAATGTATATTCCACAAGGTGCATGTACAACAGTATGTTTAACGAAACGTTTCGCCTACATAGTAGGCTTCTTCAGTTAACTAGAGACAATAACAACAACCTTGCTTGATGGACTGATTACATCATCTTCATTTCACTAGTACACCAACTGTGTCTGCATTTGACTGAAGAAACCTACTGTGTGCGCGGAAAGATACCCAAATGTTGCAAGTGTCTTCATCAACAATTTCTCTGTATTTTATACCATTTTCCAGACGAATTATATTTAATGACGTGATAAATCTTGATTGAATATATTAACATTTTTGCGCAGTAGTTGTGTAGAATAAAAATGTTAAAGCCACAATATTTTGCTTTATTATTGCAGTGTGACAAATGTTAAACTGGAAGCTTGATTAATTAGCCTGGTAGTCCTCTGTGGGACACCCGTTGATGTTAATACCTCTGTTCTAATTATAATGAGCTTATTTACAAGTACAACATATAATTTTGGGGAATTTGAGTTCGTTGTACAGTGCCCAGCGGACTAGTAATGCGCATCGCAGTTTTTTTTTTTTTAATTATTTTAACCGCAGATGTATATTTAAAGTTTTGAATTACGGAGGTTTTTTTTGTGTACGTATGAATCCTCTTGTATCTGGTGGTTTATGAAGATTCTTGAATCACGTGTAGTTTTAAACGATATATACGTGAGTCGATGATTCTTTTCTGTGCCTCGTTTTACTGTCCTTTCAGTATCGAGACGACCTTGCGCGCTGAGCCAGCCTTTTTCTCTCATCCTTCCAGGGACGGAGTCGTTCGCGGTGCTGGACGAAGGAATTGGCAGCGACAGCAAAGTTTCCATGATGGTTGCTCTAATGGACGCTCTCTATTCCGCTCTCAGGATCTTTATCCCACATGCTGATAAACTTCCGCTCCTCGTTCATAAACAGGTGAGTGTGACGGGAAGGAGGGAAAGTAGTGCGAGGTGGGAGGCAAGAACGTATGGGAAGGGAAACTGAAGAGTGCTCAGGGAAGATGAAAGGACAGCTAATGTCTTTTGATGTAGAAGGTCAGATGATGATGTAAGGTGTAAATAGGAGGTGAAAGGGTTATCAAGGGATGTGAAGCTGATGTTTGACGATGGAATGTGTGAATAGAAATGGGTGAAGAAAAATTAATAAAAAGTAAAGGAATGGGGTGTTTGGATGACCAGGATAAATAGGAAAGATAGAAGTAGCTAAGAGGTAAGGATATTAAAGTGGGATTTACAATAAATTAAGAGAAATAGACGTTAAGACCCAAAGGAATATATTAAATAAAATTTTGTTCAAAGAATGATAAACAGAAACGAAGTATGAAGACACACAAATAGAAAGCAAACCGAGTGCAGCAATTAAACGTTTGTTTCAGGGTCATAAATCTTAACGTGGGTGTCACGCAGCAAGCAAACACACAGTAAACACTAAGCAAAACAAGGAAGCAATAGTAATTCTTAGATTTAAGTCAGTTTGCACGAAACAACGATGATGTAAAATCCAGCTACGAATCTTACGGCTGAGCTGTAGTACTCATTAACACTACTGTAAGGTGACCTCCCATCCAGGGGTGTGAGTGGTAAGATCGAGTGTAGGTTAGGAGACGGGTGGGTGTTGGCAGGAAAAGATATGGGGAGGGGTGAGTCTCCAAGCGCTGGGGTTGCTGTGTTTGTCTGGGTGTGTCTTACCGAGGACCCGGATAACATTACAGACTGTGGTAGTCCAGACACACAAATTACATTACATTAGACTAATTACTCCCTCCTCCTCCTCCTCTTCTTCCTCTTCCCTCACCTGAATTGTAAATTGTATTCCTCGCGTTGCTCGGACCTCACACACTTTAGATTGGAACTTTTACAATCTACCTGGCTTACCGTGACCACTTTCCCATTCTACGTAGCTTTTTGCCCTTTTCCACTCTAGCTTTGTCCCTCTCCCACTTTAGCTTTCTGTCCCTCTCCCACTTTAGCTTTGTCTGCCCCTCTTCCACTCTACCTAGCTTTGTCTGCCCCTCTCCCACTCTACCTAGCTTTGTCTGCCCCTCTCCCACTCTACCTAGCTTTGTCTGCCCCTCTCCCACTCTACCTAGCTTTGTCTGCCCCTCTCCCACTCTACCTAGCTTTGTCTGCCCTCTCCCACTCTACCTAGCTTTGTCTGCCCCATCCCACTCTACCTAGCTTTGTCTGCCCCTCTCCCACTCTACCTAGCTTTGTCTGCCCCTCTCCCACTCTACCTAGCTTTGTCTGCCCTCTCCCACTCTACCTAGCTTTGTCTGCCCCTCTCCCACTCTACCTAGCTTTGTCTGCCCCTCTCCCACTCTACCTAGCTTTGTCTGCCCCTCTCCCACTCTACCTAGCTTTGTCTGTCCCTCTCCCACTCTACCTAGCTTTGTCTGCCCCTCTCCCACTCTACATGGCTTAGCCTGGCCCTCTCCCACTCCACGCTTCCTCTCACCACAGTCACTTTTTTCCTTTCTTCCCCCTCCTACTTTCCTCTTCCCTTCCCTTTCATGTACTCACCTTTCGCGTCCTCCCTTTCCTCTTATTTCACCTGCTCTTTTACCATCTCTTCTTTCCCTGCCTTTCCAGTCACCAGCTTGTTCTTTCCACTCTTCCGTCTCACTACTTCCCTTCTTTACGGCGTCATTTATCTCTACTTCCCCCTTGTTGTTTATTTGTATCATCTGTTTCACTGGTTCCCTTCGTCTGTATGATTGCTTGCTTGCTCCCGAACCAGCTTTTGTCATCTTTCCCCGGCAGTAACAGCCTCGTTGATCAGGCCTTGATCCACCATGAGGCCTGGTCACGAACCGGGAAGCGGGAGCGTTGATCCCCGGAATACCCTCCAGGTAGACTCCAGGTAGACCTCCAGTCCCACTTGAGTTGACTTGCATCTACCACCTCGCCGCCGCTATCACCACTACCACTATTTCCAACATTACCCCCACTGTTATCACCATCACTACCACTTTTGTTACTGCTACTCTTACCACCACTGTTACTACTACTGTTACCACCACTGTTACTACTACTGTTACCACCACTGTTACTGCTACTGTTACCACCACTGTTACTACTACTGTTACCACCACTGTTACTACTACTATTACCACCACTGTTACTGCTACTGTTACCACCACTGTTACTACTACTGTTACCACCACTGTTACTACTACTGTTACCACTGTTACTACTACTGTTACCACCACTGTTACTACTACTGTTACCACCACTGTTACTACTACTGTTACCACCACTGTTACTACTACTGTTACCACCACTGTTACTACTGCTGTTACCACCACTGTTACTACTGCTGTTACCACCACTGTTACTACTACTGTTACCACCACTGTTACTACTACTGTTACCACCACTGTTACTACTGTTACCACCACTGTTACTACTACTGTTACCACCACTGTTACTACTACTGTTACCACCACGGTTACTACTACTGTTACCGCCACTGTTATCACTACTGTTACCACTGTTACTACTACTGTTATCACCACTGCTACTACTACTGTTACCACCACTGTTACTACTACTGTTACCACCACTGTTACTACTACTGTTACCACCACTGTTACTACTCTGTTACCACCACTGTTACTACTGCTGTTACCACCACTGTTACTACTGTTACCACCACTGTTACTACTACTGTTACCACCACTGTTACTACTACTGTTACCCACTGTTACTCTGTACTCTTACCCCATGTTACTACTACTGTTACCACACTGTTACTACTACTGTTACCACCACTGTTACTACTACTGTTACCACCACTGTTACTACTACTGTTACCACCACTGTTACTACTACTGTTACCACCACTGCTACTACTACTGTTACCACTATTACCACCACTGTTACTACTGTTACCACCACTGTTACTACTACTGTTACCATCACTTACTGCTACTCGTTACCACTACTGTTACCACCTGTTACTACTGTTACCACCACTGCTACCACCACTGTTACCACCACTTCTACCACCACTGTTACCACTACTGTTACCACCACTGTTACCACTACTGTTACCATCTGTTACTACTACTGTTACTACTACTGTTACCATCACTTACTACTACTGTTACTACTGCTGTTACCATCACTTACTACTACTGTTACCACTGTTACCACCACTGTTACTACTGTTACCACCACTGCTACCACCACTGTTACTACTGTTACCACCACTGTTACTACTACTGTTACTACTACTGTTACCTCCACTGCTACTACTACTGTTACCACCACTATTGCCACCACTATTACCACCACTACCACCGCTATTACCACCACTATTACCATTACCACTATTATTATCACTGTTAACTACCACCACCACCTTGCCACAACTGTCACTATGCAACCTCTATCACACCACCACCATTACTTCTCGTTGCTACCACTTTCAACATATCTATTACCTCTTTTCATTAGAACCCTACGCGGGGGCGGTGACCCCCAGAACTACCTCTGCTCGTCACTACCACCACCACCAAGCCACCTTTGACAACACACCACCTCGGTCACAAAGGAAAAAAGCCAATACTAGCAGCATCCTCCGAAAATGCATTATACCATCAGAAGGCCCAGCCTCAAAATATTGATGAGCGTAATTCATTACGCAGTGATGCAGCCTTTGCGCTGCGTAAGTCAAACTGCATAACAAATTTCACTGGCATCACAAAATATACAAGGAAGGCGGAGTATATGGAGAAGATGAGAGAAGTTGGAAAAAAGGTGTCTTGAAAGAATGCATTAAGAAAAGTGAACGTCAGTGTTCAGCAAATTATGCCGAGAGAATTTTTTTTTTTCTGATCGATGTGATAAATGATTTTGAAATCAATGTAATCCTGGAGAAACACTAAACCCGTCAGTCATCCGGAGAATGGGGGGAAAAGTGAGAGGTGATAAGGTTTGAACCAACAGGAAGGAGCTGAGGAAGGGGAGGGGTTATCTCCAGTTCTTTGGATCAAGACCTCTTCACCAGCAACTCGAGACACCCCCTCCACATTCAAGAACAACAATTTTTGAGAATGATATATGGGGTAACAACGCCTAGAAAAAAATAATGGACTCGTCTGGTATTTATGATCCGTGTGGGTCATAAATACCTGTCATTAGGGAAGCAAAGCTCACCTGAGGATGTATGGGATATTTTCGCTGTAAGAAGAGGCAGTTCCACAGACTTTAAATGATAATAAAACTTGTATGTAGCAGAAGTGTCAGGATTTCATTCTGTAATTTTTCTGGGAGAGTGGAAAGAGAAGCAGCAGCAGTGTAAGTGTTGTGAAGAATGTGAAAGAAAATATTTTGAACTCGTGGAGCATTTTTGCCTATCAGGTCGTTCAGCATTTTTTGTCAGTAACAAGTAAACAAATATAGTCGTACTCTCTAACACTCGCCAACTTAAACTATAAAAAATGCTAAATGCCAAGCACACAACAGCAAAAAATATTATCACAAGTTTTACTAACGAAGGAATTTGAAAGTGAACACTGAAAAGTGCAAGGGGATGGAGGTATGCAGACGTGTAGGGATTGAATCAAAGGAGGTCAAAAGGGAAGACGCATGGAGAAAGTGAATGTATTTTGATTCATAGGTATGGATTTCTCAACAGATGATTCTATGAATAATGATATAAACAACAAAATAAATTAAGGGGGATGGGAAGAAAGAAAAAATGTTGGGAAACGTGTGGAAAGGAAAAAAGGCCTAAGTTGATACAAAAAAAATGAGACTTGGAAGGTTTCTGTATGGAATAGGATGGAAACGATAAAAATGTCTCATAATGTTTGAGATCAGTATGATGTGCACACGTTATACGCAAATTTAGAAGCTAAGAAATTAGTAAACGGTGTGGCGTGGGGCGACATGACGATTATAATGGAAAAGATTATTTAGAGGTTGATATTGTCTGATAATGTAGAAAAGCTTATCGAGTATGGTTGGTTATGATGTGGATGGTAGGAGTAACGAGGAATGTGTTAAAGAAGCGCTGAAAGGCAGGAGCTTGACCATCTATCAGGCGTATGAGAGTATCATACATCAGCGTAACCGTGTGATCTTTGAGATTTGACGTGCTGTTGAAGTATGAACAATCATTATATTATTTGACTGAAAGTTTTGCAGGTATATCTTACCTCCAAGCTACATCATCACAATATAATCACAGTGAGCATAATATACTGACTTTATTCAAGCTCTTCCAGCATTTAATTTCCTCATTACACACATTTATAAAAATACACACACACACACACACACACACACACACACACACACACACACACACACACACACACACACACACACACACACAAGGGATGTGAACTGTGGTATCAAGGCAGAAAACTTGTCGAGAAAGAGAAACTACAGACTGTGAGCATTTCGGGTGCAATATACTTGAAAGCTTCGAGTAAATAAAAATCATAGAATAATTGTCATTGTCTCTGTACAAAGATAAAAGTGGGTTTATAGGAAGGTGCTAAAATTAATTAATGTGTGAAAGCATAACGACAAAGCGCCACAGAGTAAATAAACAATTTTATATAAATATATATTTTTGGGGGGGTTGTAACACACTGCTGTTATAGCCGGAAAAAGTGAGTTCACTATATGACATTATTAATGCAGGTGGTAACACCTGGGATGTGTTTCTCTTGAAAAGTACCGAAAATGAATGACAAAAAAGAAATGCGAAAGCAAGAGAGAACGGAAATGAGAGAGAACGGTAGAATTAGAGGAAGATATAAAATGAAAGTTGTAGCCAGACCTTATGGACGAAAATATGTGAGAATGAAAGAGCGATAGCGAGAGTAGAAGGCCGCACATAAATATGAGACGAGAGACTCGTGTTGCAGGTGGATGCTGGCTGAAGTGTGTTGTACGGTCTTGGTGTGTAGTATACATATGGATGGAGCAGATGGGGTGGTGGATGCTCTATATGTGAACACGGGACTCTGGGATGCAGTTCGGAGTTGGGGGGAAAGGGAGGAACGCGTGGGTTTGGTGGATGCTGACCACTCAGATCGGAAGTTTTATATGTATACTGACACGCGAAATGCTGAGAATGAGTTCAGCGCGAGTGTCATGCAGGGCAGTCATGAAGGGGGAATATTTCTTGCCAAAGCACCCTTATTCCACTCCATGGCAAGAGGACCTAATTGATAGTGTCGTGAGAGAACATATTCTTTACAAGTATCCTTGTGGAACTCTGTTGGAGGTGGCTTGGTATATAGTCTGAACTGGGGATGTCACGGGTATTTAGTTATAAATGTGATGCCTTTGGTTTAAATTAGTCTTAGAGCCTGTGGTATTGTCGAGTCCCAGACCCAATACTATGTATATTATTATTAGTAGTAGTACTAGTAGTAGTAGTACTAGTAGTAGTAATTGTATATTGAATCTGAAGCGCTAAATCTATAGGGGTAATACAGCACCTGGGGAATGGGAGGAAATCAGGTTTGATCTAGGAGAGGAGAGGCTAGTGCTGCCAATTTACACACGAAGTCCAATGTTTTCACTGTTACAACAGTGACAGACGACCTCAGGAACTTCGTCAAAACTCTTCCTCTCTGTTGAACCTGTGAACGACTTGTGATCCAGGATCTGCATTATTAATATCACTAGTAAAGAAAACCTCCAGTTTGTACTGAAATAAATTTCAATTTTAATAAGGAGCGGAGAAGCGGAATCTTCCGCTATGTCTCACTCCATGGGTACCTTGGTGCTGGTGAAGGGGCACTTGATCCAAGGAACTGGAGCTGTCCTTCTCTTCCCCGGATCAAATTTTATTTACGCGAGTATGTGCTCAGGAATGCAACAATAGTGGAGTGTTGTCAACCGTTTTTTTTTTTTTTTTTTATGATGCGGATAGTGTTTTTATTATTACTATCATTATTTATAAATAAATAGGGAACTCCTTTATTTATTAATAAATTTATTGACTACCTTCCTTTATACAGTAAGCTATTTTTGGAAGGAAATCATACATCTATATACCTCTGCTGCAACTATTACTACTAGTTCTAGTTCTATTGATACTGCTACTTCTAGTCTTGCTACTGCTAGTCCTGCTAATATTACTACTAGTCCTACTAATTTTATTACTAGTTCTAACATGGTTACTACTAGTGCAACTAATATTACTACTGCTAACTCTGTACTGCTACTACTATTACTAGTTCTACTTACAATATTTCCTAGTACTACAACTATTACATATTCGACTACTACTCCTATACTAAAGTGTTCTATCTGGTGTTTTGCAGGAGTTCCCAGGTGGAACACTGAGCACGTCTCACGGCTCCTTCAACATCGACAACACATTGGGCGGGGAAGTGAAGTTCGCTCTGACCTACTACGACCTCAATCATGTAGGTAACACTGTGAATCTCATCAACCCTCACGGCAGAATCATGGAGACCCTGCATATGCAGGAGGAAGACGGAGACGTCAACACTATCTTCATTACCGTCACGAACGCCATGGTAATAGTTACAATAGTTATTGTTAGTGTTGTGGTTAAAGGGGAGGGGGGGAAGCAAAGGCTCAAGTATCCCACGTCTGGTTTGTTTAGCCGACGCCATGACGAGCGTAACGATAGATTCCACAAATGAAAGTATAAATGATATACAACACAAGATGACCGATAGGATTGAAGTTACTCTTCAGTCCTCTGTTATAGGGTCACACAAGCTCTAGTCTCTTAACAGTATACAACACTAAGTATATAAGACTAGTGTTCTGGTCATGTCATATTATTAAGAATGGCTGTTGTTCATTATCGCTTTAATTACTTTTATTACTGTAACATGGGTAGAACCTGGGCAATGGGAGGCAATCAGATTCGGTACAGGGTAAGCGAGGGTAATTCATTGGACCAAGAGCCTTCGGGTGCATCATATAACCTTCCTTACAAAGGTAACTGGTATTCAGGACTGGCTTTGTTACGAGTTTTGGTACTGTGTATGGCTGAGGCTCAATTGGGTTAACTTTAATTAGTCATCAACCAACTTTTCCCAAATGAGTTTCATTGTAAATTTCATAAACGTGTCTATAGAGTAAAAAATTTAATTTTGACCTTTTTTTATGGTAAGTTGCATTTTTTGGGGCCGCATCCACAGCAATTATTATTAATTATAATAACAGGGAACCTCTAAAGGCACACAGCATCTTGCAAATAAAAAGTAATCAGATTTGATCCAATAAGAGAGAAGCTAAAAAAGAAATCCTTTGGATCAAAACTCCTTCACGAGCATCAAGGCACTTGCTCTTTAAAGGTACTCCACATCGGTGTCACCAGCCTGTGCTTCCCTCCAACAAATGAAAGAAAACAAACTTCACAGATGCAAAAGAATCAGCAGTTTCTTTTTTTTCCGGTTCTTCGTTTTTGTTCTCAAAAATGCATTATCAAAGGGAGCGCCTTTCGTAAGTAACAAAAGACCCCACACAGCTACCAGATGAACTACTGTGGAAGGCTACTTTATAATTATTCGTGGAGAGACAAGGACGCAGTTAAACAAACTCGAACTAAAGAAAAGTCAAACACATCTCAAAATAAAAGTTTGTACCAGATAAAACAATAGAGACAGAGAGAGAGAGACAGACAGAGAGAGACAGAGAGAGACAGAGAGAGAGACTTGTATGTCTCATAACAATAAAAATGCTTTCAAATGAGCTGATGTAGGTAACAGCTCTTAGCTTGCCAATAAAGTTAGGAATCCTTAACCTGTAAATAGCTTGTCAATAAAGCTAGGGATCCTTAACCTTGTCAAACCCTGTGTAAAAAAAAAAAAAGAGAGGCTGACCGAATTACAACATTCCCGTGAAAATTTACAAGCGTAAACACCATTAAGTTCTAAAAATCCATTAATCTCCGGGAAGAAGGTGGTCTTCACTAGAGGGATTTTCCCCCAGTTTGTGATAGCTGGATGTAGAAAGCAGAGAGGGTCGTCCCATCTGGCTGTAGGACGCCAGTGAGGGAGGATCTCCATCCAAGGAATTGAACATGTAAACCTTTACTTTCGGTCGAATTTGATTGCCTCGCATTTCTCAGGCGCTATATAATCCCTAAGAGCTTTCCTCTTACCTTTAAATATAATAATAATCAAATGGCTGTAACAAAAATACTGCTGCTTCATGTGTGCAGAAAACTGTAATTATTATTAGCTAATAATGTAATTAGCATAATATTCAACTGGAAATTAACTTAATTTCCTTGGATCAAGAGTCCTTCATTAGGAAGAAGGCCTTCCCCTCTCTCGAAGAATCACCTGATGGATTCACCTTTACACACATACGCCCGCATGCTGTAGCTTTGCAATATGAGACCGAGCACCAACTCTTGGGCCTCGTTTAACCATGACTCAAGCAGTGTGATGTGTCCCCCATGGGCGCTGTTCTTAGTGTCTTCCATCGTTCACTGCCTTAAGCACTCTTCCTCACAGTTAGTGTACTTCTTCACTGACGCCAATACTTTCTCCATCTTTCTTAGATCGACTGTTCCTAAAAAAATTTAAGATAGGAGTACTAGAAACTAGATTCATGGAAGGGGCTTAAAAAAATGTGATTTTTAAATGCACGCAGCTTCCATGGCGGGGTGAAATGCTGGTATCTATAGAGATACAGTTCATGCAGGTTATAAAGTTTAATATAACTGCATTTGCCTAAAAGCACGACAATAACTGTGCGTGTGTGTAAAATATATACATAGATAAATACACACACACACACACACACATACACACACACACATGCATATATATATTTATATATGCATTGGGCCTGCAATAACAGTTAGCAAGAACGATGCACGGGGTCCAGATCAGATTTCCCCCATTATGTCCCATTACTCCTCTATTTTTTCCCCCGTCAGTCTTATTTTTACCCCCTGCTCCCCTCTTGCCACTCGTGTTAATCGCTCTAGCACCGGCCCCAGCCTCCATTAGTATTGCCATAACGCCCCTGATTGGATCCACTATCACTTGCGTGCTCTCCTCCTCCCTGCCATATGTTAGGTGAGAGCCAGCCAGCTACTCCCACGCCCCTGCCAGCGATTTGCTCTTGTTGTCTCCCACTCACGGTTCTGTAGTTGGCAGGGAGAGGCTCTCATGTTTCTTCAACTGTCGTAAGCTATACAGCTTATCACTGAATAAGTTCCTTAAAACATTATCTAAAACATGATTATTATCAATTTATCATTATTATTTTGTTTTAGTTTTTATATTTTATTACTCTTATTGTTGAGAGGCGCCGAATTCTGGGGACTGAGAGGTACTCTAGTTTAATCTAAGGAAGGTAGTTAGGCCTGCCAACACTAGGCTCTACACTACACTTGCAACAGCTGTATGTGACGCAAGTGTTCCCGTCTTGTCAGACTGGCGTCGCGGCTGCTATTCATATTCGTCTCATTCTCGTGAGGAAATTACCTCGAGCCCCGCCTGCATCATGCAGCGTCTGCTGGATGATATTATTAGGTGTAGAGTGTATTCGAAACACTCACTCCTGCCATGTACGTGTTACCTGGGGATCTCAACATGTTGCCTCCACGTTGAAGCTCTTGGCTGCAACAATCGGCAACACGGAATCTTCAGCACTTCATTTTCAACACTTTTAACAAAGAATTGCTTACATCAGTTTGAAATTATCATTACAAACTTACTGTTATCATGAATAAGTTTTCTATCATATAAGAGAAATAGCATGACAAAAATGTCAGTAAAAAAAAGGCAATTATTTATATATAGAGAGTATCCATATATCGTTCTAAGTAACTGTCAACAAGTCATAAGAAATTTAGACGAAAGGAGAAATATCCCTAACCATTTATTCCAAAAAGAGTGTTCTTACGCAAACAACCCCTGGGGAAAGTTGTACTAACCTGTTAATAGTCTGGGGATGATCGCCCCCGTAGCTGCTCTTGGACGTGGCCTCCAACTTGACGTCCTCGTCAGTCATCATGTTGGTGACAGCTGTATGCCCAGTCCAACTTGAGCACCACACCCAGAACCATCAAGGACTTGAAAATCCTATGTGGAGAACTTAGAAACATTGTAACGATAAAGTCACACGTATCACCAGTAACGATCGTAATATGTCCTCCTAACGCCAACATAGAATTATTTTTTACTGTCCTTAAATTAATTGTTTTGCATCAATTATTTTGAAGTGAGGCTTAATTAGGTGAAGTAATAGTTTGTAAATATTTTTTTTATAACGTGCAACAGTATCAGTAAATGCCATAATGCACTGAGGCGAAATGATATTTTAAAGTTTGAATGCAAAAAGGGGACCCACGATTTTTGTAATACATAAGTATGTAAAAATCCAAGTTAACAATTAGGTGTCACAGTCGTTTTACAGACAGACATGAACCGAAGTATTAAATGAACGTTGGCGTCATGTTACCAGAGACTTTGAATATGTTGCTTGCACCACCGCCAGTGTGTGTTAAAAAATATAGCGAGAAATACCCTTATAGAAGCATTTGAACTACTGGGAGCGCCTCAAAGAACTAGAAATGCAATCTCTGAAGGCAAGATACACTATAATATGCACATGGAAGATACTGGATGGCCTGGTCCCAAGTATATACATTATCATAACAACCTAATGGAGTGAGAGACGTGTAAAATAGACCCACTGACGCAATATAATAACTTTCTCAACATTCGCAAGCCTAGACTTTCAATTTGCTACCAGAAGAAATGAGAAATATTGCTGGAACCCGTGTAAAGCTTTCAGTGTCTTCAGGATTTTTCTGTCATATTACATTAATGAAGAAGCTTTGAAATCATGAAGGTTATGCAGCACCTGGAGAATGGGAGGTATTCAGGAATGGTCCAAGAGAAAAGTTGCTCTAATTCCTTGGATTCAGAGCCTTTTGCCAGCATTAAGACAATCGTCTAGAAGAGTTTCATGTCACAGCTGAAGGTGAGGTTATAATGCAATTAATTATCCTAGCGAGAATAATGAGGACCCATGACAGGAACATTTGGGTGTTTCCAGCTTCAGGTGGTACTCAGCGATTGTGTCACGAATGATCCAGGTCCACAACATTCATTCAAGTTGTGCTTCTGTATAACGTGGACGACTGTCCCTCGCACAGAATGTACTGCCAAAAAGGCGGCATAAAATACATGCTAGGCAGCAGTTAGACAACACGTTCCAGTGGAACATTACTGAAACACTCAGGTTCTCTTAATGACAGTGAAGTGAAGCATTTGGGACATTCACCAACAAGAAAGGTAAACAGTTTGCTTGGCACTTTCAAAATATCGTCTCGGAGCTCACGCCATACCTGAAACCCAACAAGGAGCACCTCAGTACCTGGAGGAACCAACATATCTGGAACTCCAGCAACATGTCACGGAGCGCCCTGCAACATCTGTAAATTCCAGCACCATCGCTGAATACCACCAAGTAAGTTTCAACTCCCCTATTTCAGAGCCTAGGTTGTCGTGATAAGACCGGTTTAGGTACTGCTAAA